AAGCTCAATTTTGTTCTTCAGTACGCTTTGTTGTAGTATTTTACTCTTTACTCTTCTAATATTATAAATTTTGTTTGCAGCTATAGCTACTGTCTCTTTTCGGCAATTAATTAGACCAGAAATTGCTTTAATCAGTTAATAATTTTGTTTCAGCTATAATCTCTCTTTATTTTCAGGAAATATCTAAATAAGGAATTACTTTAACTAATTAAGATTAGTTTTTCGGCTAGAATTTAATTTCAGAAAAAAATGGGCAAGGAATTATTTTTTCGTTAGAATTAGAATAATACTCATTCTGTCCACAGCTTTAATTATTTTCGGGAAATTTAGTTAAGAAATCGTTTCAGGAACAAGTTAATATCAATTTTGTTCACAGCTTTAACCACTGTTTTCTTTCAGCGTGTATTTAGAAATAAGATCTTTTTCTTGCAGCTATAATAAATGATTTACGCTTTAGTTATTTGTTTTAACTAAATAATTTTCCCTCAGTTAGTAGCTGTTAATAAGTGTTGGGTTGGTGAATTGTGTTAAGTTGTGTTCTCATCAGTAAGCACTTTCAGTTACTTGAAAGGGGGCTTTTCCCTTCTTTATCAGCCCTTCTGGCAAAAGCTAAATTAACACCGAGTCAACTAAGGATTCTGTGTACTAGCTCGATCAATTAGCATTGTAAGGTTGAGGTTGAGTTTAATTTTGCCATTAGGTTCAAACTTGAATTCATTGTAAATTAGTTGTCGCCGTTCCTTTTAACTTAGTTGTAATTCACTCCTCCAGTGATAATTTCCCCAGTCTATTAGTTTTACGGCGTTAACTGTTCGTTGTTATTGTTATTTCATTCTTCACGCGTATATAGATATTCGAGTCTGTAATTCAATTATAAATAAAAATCAGCCTCCTCTAACTTGAGTTTCATTAAATTCATTAACTGAAGCTAACTGAGTTCGACGGTTCCGAAAGTATTCATTCGGGCGTTTGCCACTTTCCCTGGATTACTTGAAGAACAGAAGAGGCAACGTTCTGCGCAAGTGAGTGTTTCAATGAGTCATGATTCTATTACTTTATGTCAGGTTGTGCGCGAGTCTACCTCCTATAGGAAGACTAGTAAAAGGTAACAGAATCGGGAATTCGAGTGGTCTCGGACCAATACAGAAATTGAGTATTGGACTGGAGGTCCGAGCTATAAGGTCAAGGCTCGACATTGAGGGATCCGGGAGTCTCGGACAAAGTTCCTGTTACATAAAAATGGCGCAGTCCAGTTCAGATGAGTAACTGCATAACAAAATGACTACTATCAATAACCATTAAATCAGTGAGTTATACATAAACAATTAAAGTAAATATTAAATCAAACAATAAAAGTAAAGGTCAGGTCATGCGGAGAATCTGACAAATATATATTGGAAGATATAAAATATTAAGACGATGATATTTAGAGTTTAGAAAGTAAAAATAGTTACATGGAATTGATTTTGAACTAATTGTCTATCACATAAAAGAAATGCTGGATTTAGCACAGCAAATCGATAAAGAAAATTAACGCTAGAATTGAAGTTGCAATGGAGTTATAGTCGAGTTGTAAATCTTGCAGTTCAGAAAATATTAGAGATGAACATCCAGGAATTCAAAGAATACGGAACTTCCAAGATATAATCCAAGTGTCATTGATTTTGTGAGAATAGTAAAGCTATATAACTTTGAGAAGAACGTATTAGTACTATAATACTTCCATTGTTCTCTTTAAGATGAAGTTTTAATTAATTTCAAAAGTAGATACTACCATGTTAAATTCTGAGTAGTTAAAGTGTTATCGATAGCAGTAACATCACATGAAAAACAACATAGAAGTATTTCATCTCATCATGTAATTGGTTTTATAAAGAGTCATAACGAAGAAGAAAAATATCTCTAGATATGCATCACTTTGCATATATGCATGGAATTTTAGCGTCAAACCAAGGATGGGAGAAAACTCTGACAAAGGTCGTAAAATAGGTATTTCCATTTTTCTGTAGAGTCTTTACGAGAACGAGCTAGATACACGTTCAGTTGACTAGAATTGAATTTTGAGATCATACAGTAAAAGCATAATTTGAGTTTCAAGTCAAGCAAGAATAATTGTTGAGAAATTAAGTTAGCGAGTTACTACCACCGAGAGATTTGAGTAAAAAGTCGAAGTAACGTAAAGAAGCTAACTGAGTTCGAGGGTTCCGAAAGTATTCATATGAGGCGTTTACTACAATCTCTGATTACTTGGAGAACAGAGGAAGCATCATTCCGCGTAAAGTGAGTGTTTCAATGAGTCAAGATTATATTACTTTATGTCAGGTTCTACGCGAGTCTACCCCCTATAGGAAGACAAGTAAAAGGTAACAGAATTTGAAATTCGAGGAGTCTCGGACCAGTCCAGAAATTGAAGTATTGGACTGGAGATCCGAACTATATATTCAAGGCACGACATTGAGAGGTCCGGGAGTCCGCCGATTCTGGTACATAGTAGATACGGTCTAGTCGCCATTAAACAAACTAGTAATATTCCTCTTGATCATGCAACCACCGACAGCTAACCATGGATAGGTGTTTCGTGCTATTTGGCAACTCTTCAGCATGGTGTAGGCTTGGTGTCGGTGGACAAGCATACAGTTCCAACACTTTCGCAGTGGTCGATACTCAGGTAATTCTTAAAGGCCCACGCTACTTGCGTTATATAATCACGAAGGTATACAGAGTCAATCTACCTAGGTGATATAACTTCTTGAATAGAATTATGGTATGGATCTAAGCTCGAAAGATAAATATGTAAGACCTTCAACGGATAATGTCTCTAGTAAATCAAAGAACAAGGAGAAGTGATTTGATATTCCGAAACTTTGGGATGAAAAGTTTGTAAACTGATTACGAATTTCAAAATTCAACAAAGGTACGCTCACTTGTATAATCGCCTTATATACCTGGTTTATCATGGATTGAATTGTGTAAACATAAAATTAAATTTCACAAAAATGAAGTGTTGTATGTATATCTGTTTCAGTTTTATTCAAGGGTATTTGACGGGAAGATTGATATTTTTATTTGTAAAACACAGCGTAAGCGTAAGAATTCGATTATCTAAGCTATGTGAATAAACTGTCAAGTGTTTCGAGATCCAATATGACTGAATCAGCTACTTGAAGTAACGAGATGGAGGTATTGAGCATTTGATACCTCATGAAAGGTTCAAAACTCTCATATACCGTAAAATGATCGCCATATTTTAACGAATGCAAATAATTTTATATATTTACTTTCCTTCATCACCTGACGAGGGGGTACCAAAAAAAAACCGGAATTATTTTTTAAAAGCTATTTATTTACACATTTTCAGAAAGTAAACTTATCTCCTTCAAAATACTGTCCACTACAACTAATACACTTGTTCCACCGGTGCTTCCACTGCTCGAAACATTTTTTGAAGTCTTCCTTAGAAATGTCTGACAGCTCCTCTCTCGTTTTTCTCTTGACCTCTTCAATACCGTCAAAGCGGCGTCCTTTCATGCCCCTTTTCATCCGTGGAAATAACAAAAAGTCGCACGGAGCCAGGTCAGCCGATTAAGGTGCGTCAGGCAGCGGAACCACGCCATTTATAGTCAGAGACTGTCGAACAGAGATGGCTGTGTGCGCAGGTGCATTATCGTGGTGGAAGAATCAGTCTCCTGACTGCCACAAATCGGGTCTTTTTTGCCGAACAGTATTTCGCAATGGTGTTAAAACCTCCAAATAGCACAAGCTCTCGATTTCTTTCAACATTTTCGTCGATTCGGGCAGTTGATGGACGTCTAGAGCGATGTTTGTCATCAATTGACATGTAGCCATTTTTAAATCGAGTAAACCACTCGTACACCTGAGGTTTTCCCATAGCATCATCTTTCTTTGTAAGCTATTTTCAACATTAAAACAGTTTCAGCAGCATTTTTACCAATAAGAAAGCAAAATTTCACAGCTGCACGTTGCTCACTGAAGCTTGCCATCGTAAAAATCAAAAGAAGCACGAAGCAGGTCTAGCAAAAATAATGACTACAAAGGAACGAAACAATCCAGAATGACAACTCAGGTGGCACTGAACTGGTAAGGAGTTGCGGTGTACGCCTCTAGGGACAGAAATGTGTACTAAAAAAATCAGTTTAGAAGATATGAGGTGGGATACATTTCACCAAAACTAATTCTTATATTTTCAACTACCAATGTTTATACTATTGTAGTGGACATTGTGGAGTTTTTGGGAAGTCGAATAATTTTTTGGTATAATTGAATAAGAAATGATAATAGTGGTTCAGTAACTAATACGTTTGATTTTGACATCTTAGTCTGAGACAGCCATTTTGATGTTATTTGAGATATATAATTTTTGCTAATAAATCCTTTTGCTAGAACATGTTTACACCGTGCTGCAAAAGCTTGAAGTATATAAAGATTTTGCATTTAATAGTTTATTTAGCTTCGATTTCAAACAAAATGCGTTTTCAAGCTCTTGAGTTCGGTTCAGTTTTAACTGAAACATTTTTGCCTTCAAGATTTAGTGAGATAACGAGACACCTGCTACGTAGAGTGACACATTTTTTATGCAAACATAATTTCAGATAAATTATTATCTTTGCTCAGGCTTGGCTCGAGAATCTAAGTTACCCTGGCATAAATTCAATGGCACCAAGCAGATGAGATCTGTACACTTTATAGCGTTATATTGGTTTCTAGAGGTCTTGGGGTTTTTCTTGTTAGCTTCGACAATATTGGAAATCGAATTTCAGAAATGTTTTCGGAATAGTAATTTTAAAGGTTCTTAAGTAGAACTGGGGTTCAATCAACATCTCGTTGTTTAATACACGGCTAGACTGTATAAAATAGCCACTTCTGTGTAAGCTTTGCAATCTTGGAATTGACTATAGCTACAGTCCTCTAATACATTTTTTTAAAGTTATTTCTAAATCTGTTGATTAGAGATCGATTTTTAACCTCTTACGTAATATTACCTTAAATTTCTCGCACTTTCTTTCTCCATGTGACCCAACTCCGGTACATGACACCAGTGGTCAGGGGTGGCAGCCATGAAGAGCTGATTGTAAGCATGGAATCCACATGGAAACACCCCTGGTAGCAGTATAAACCAAAGCACTAGTTTCTGGTACTTGCCATATTCTCCAACACATGGAAGTACTTCGTCGAGGTCCATTTCTAGAGAACTGAATCAACTATGATTTATTATTGGAAAAATCTTTATAATATTTAGGAATGAAAACAAATTTTGTAATAAAGGCAAAAAAGGGTACATAGTGTCCAGATTATTAAAATGTTCCGTTTGGAGAATATTTTCAAGATGATGACTCACATCAAGGAAAAGAATGGCGTCAAGTAGGTTGACTTTGTACTTCCTACGAAATGCTGCCGTTAGTTGATAAGGGATTAAGTTCATTACAAGTTAAACCATCTGAGGCGCTGGGCCCAGATAGCAGAAGGACACGCATATCGAAAACATGTCTCTGTCATTCTCTATTCAGTTTTAACGACAAGTGTATGGGTAAGCCTGTGATGTGTGGAATATGGCTAATAGGTGCGTAGAATTGTCGAGAATGGCAGAGTATAAATATACTAATATTCAAAAACTGACATATACATTCTCTCCCACCCCCTACCTCCCTCACCTTCTAATATTTCACCTCTAAATTTTTATTCAAAAATGACCCTTTATACGTAAAAAAGTTTGAGCGATTTTAATTTTTTCGTTTTTAGCCTTTTTCTCCGCCGCCGCTGAATCGATTTTCAAAAACTACAAAGCTTGTTCGTCCTTGTCATAGTAGTAACCTTGTGCATACATCTTCCAAATCCGAGTAGTACTTTCCAAGTTATAAACGGGCCAAGAATTAGAGGACAGACTCAGACAGACCAACGAATTCGGACTAGATAGAAGGAGCCAGTCTAGGATATGTTTCGCAAATTCGGCGACAAAAATGCAGTGTAAACATTTGGGCTCCTTCTAACCTAATCAAATTCGTTGAGGCAGGCTGTCAGACCGACAGACCAGATTGAGTGATATCCAAAAAACATAATATCCCATTCTCGAAATTTTTCGTGATACAATACTTCCTCGCCCAGTGGCGTAGAAAGTAATTGGCCTGGATGTTGTACTTTGTCAAGAATTCTTGTAAACACTATAGCAAAAAGGGTGCTACTGATAGCGTCCTCAAATTTTGCTAAAAACTCCAAAACATACAAACAACTTTATGTGAAGTGTTTGAATAGTTTTAAATTTGTCCATTTCAGATCACAATTACAAGAGCAGAAAAAATATACGCCAGGAAAAGGATAGGAGCTGTAGTAACTCAATACTCGGCATGTTTGATGTAATTTCTTGAAAAAAACATAAAGCTGTCATTGGAGATTGCTTTATTGTACGTTAAAGTTCATGAAGCTTGACATCATCAATTTTATAAGAAAATTGTTTGAGGAATACAAATATTCATGTTCTATCGCCATCAGCGACAGCAGTGGGGACATTTACGAAAACCTGTATTTCACTGTTCTAGAAATAATGCAGCTCTTTTGAAAATTATCCTGTATCTAGTCCAATAAACTTTAGGTTCAAATCTGTGACGTATATAGAACTATAGTTTAGAATGACGTCACTTTACGTGTTGTGTTCCTCTCATCAAGCCCTTTCGTTTGGTACCCATGTCATGGATTGGTTACAAAGTGGCAGCATTCAAATCATTTCATATTGTCACGCGAACCAAGATTTGTCGCTACAGATACATATTAACATACTAAAAATCATGGTCAACTTAAAGAAAAGTTTGTAAAAACATGTATTTGAGGCTAACCTGAGTTCTAAAAATTACAGAGAAATGGTCACATAATATCAATTCAGATATTTGTTCACAAAACGAGAACGTTTCTGGTTCATTTTTTTGACCTAGGTCTGAAGCTCTACAAATATCTTTTTCACCATTATAAACTCAAAACTTAAAAAATGCCCATTGCTTACCTTTCGTGATCACGAGGCAGTACTGGTTCACTCAAAATTTGGGTTCAATTTTGGTTTTTCAGTCTTACGAACCATTCTTTCTTCGACTGACTTGCTTTTTTATTATACATCTACATAACGCACATTACTGCTATTCTACATATTTAATATCCGAACAACCTGTAATTATCATGTGAAGTGCAGCCTTGTGCACAAATAAATATGAGTTCTTGATGAGAGATCGGTCGATTGTAGAAGATACCTAAGAAAGTTATTAAAAAAAAAGGAAAATATACGCTCTGCACTTGAAAAATATGACACCCTATACAGGCTGATATCAAAGCCACTTCAAAGGAAGTAGTTCGATAAGGCATAACATATGGTTTGGATCGCTACTTCTGGAACTACGGTATATTCTGTCCGTAAAAATAGTCAATTTTGGCAGCTTGTAAGTCAGATACTTTTGAAGATAGAGATGCGAATCTTTTATTGAAACTTAGAAATTATGTATGAAAAATAATATCAGACAAATGTCCGCCTCTAGTAGCCGCGCAAACCTATTGTTCTTCAGCTGCTGTACAGTACTTGGCTTGTTGGCATAAACTCTATTTTTCAAAAATCCCATGAAAAAAGTCAGGAGCCGTTAAATCCGGTGACCCTGGTGGCCAGTTGACATCACCAAATCGAGAAATTAAACGTTCGGGAAATATTGTTCGCAAACGATTAATTGTTTCCCTAGCTGTGTGACAAGTTGCGTCTTGCTGGAACCACATGTTTCGTAGGTTAAATTGTTGGATTTGAGGAGCCAGAAAGTTTTGCACCATATCACGGTAGCGCTCGCCAGTGACAGTAAGAGAATTACCTGTAGCGACTTCAAAGAAGTAAGGTCCAATGATACCTCTTGACAAAACACCGCATCAAACTGACTCGACGAGGATGTAGTGGTCGTTGATGGATGGCACAAGGGTTCTCTACTGCCCAGATACAAAAATTCTGGTTATTAAAAAATCCGTTCATATCGATGTGAGCTTCACCGCTCATTATCAGTTGTCGGTAAAAATCGTTATTTTGGGTATTAAGCTGCAATATTGCATGACGGTGTTGTCGGCGACTTCCATGGTCATTAGGCTGTAGTTCTTGGGTTAACTGAATTTTGGGTGGCCGCAAATGCAGGTCTTTTTTTAAAATAGTGAATAATGTCGTGCGACGAATACCCAGTTCTTGAGCACGATGTCTAAAAGACGTCTCAGGGCGCTCCACTACCCTTCCACGAACTATCTTGATATTTTCCGGAGTACGAACAGTTCGAAAACGGCCCGACCTTGGCAAGTCTTTAACTTCACCTGTTTGTTCAAATTTCCGCACCAACTGATGCATGGTGTTGACACTGGTCATATTATTTCGGCCGAAATCTTGTAGCATCCGAATCGTTGCGACAATCGACTCAGTGTTTAAGTAAAACCTTTAATCAATACGGACGGATTGTGGGATCGTGTAGCGCTACTTGATGAATTGGACACATGTGCTTTAAGCAAATGCTACGGCACCAAATACCGAAATGCGTGTATCAAAAATGGCGAGCAATTTAAATCGGTCAGTTATCCTATTCCTTTTTTTTTGTTAATACTCATGTTTCTCTTTCTGATATATACATATATATATATATATATATATATATATATATATATATATATGTATATATACACGGTGACTTTGAAGTTGAGTCATTAATTTTCAGATAGTGATTGTAGAAGGAAGATAAACCAAAATATGTGTGTAAAAATAAAAAAAAAATTAAAAAAAAATGTTACCTTGTTTTATAAAGTACCCTCCCGACAAGTATTTCAGTGCGGACCTGTATTTGATCGTGCGGTCTTGGAGCACCGGCATCCCCTGTGAGGTCTTAAGTCACCTGACTCACGAGCCCTTTGTACTACATTAACAAAGGCACGAGGGGTTGGTTGCACTCGATTGGGAAACCGATTTTGTAAAGACTCCCCCCCCCGTAAATAAGAATCATGTCCACAAGTTCAGCATTTTCGTAAACATGTGCCATTTTTCATTTCGTTTGAGCCACGCAACAAAAACCATTATTCACTTACGCGTTACCGACTGAATCCAACTAAAGACATCGTGATAAGCGTTTCAAACTCTTTCGCTTTTTTGTTTCGGATGCGATGAACCGATGCGGATTATATCCGTTGTCGCCAAACACGAGCACATAATATTATTATTGAGACAGGGCGGTACTCAAACTTCTAAAGGGCTATAACTTTGTTACTTTAATTTTACCAGAAAAATGTTAAAGGAAAAAACATTTCTTTTGATCAGATCTACTCACTGTTAAAATAAATGACTCAACTTCGAATAAATATATTTTTATATTGTTTTTTGAGAACTGTTTGGGAATAAAGGCATTTATTATTATATGTTGGCCACCTTGTATAAGGTTACGTGGAAATCAATTAGCACTGACGAATTGATTGGGAACAATATTTATCGTGTGATATTCCTCTTACACATTTTCAAATGTTATGCATCATCTATACAGGGCATCATAAACGCAAAATTTACTTTTTTGTTCAAAAAATTCAAATGGAAATCCCTATATATTTTTATGATTTTAGGTTCATCATCTTTATAATTTTTTTTTGTTATAAAATCTTTGGGTTGTCGACTAAATTTGTTGAGTTGTTTGCAGTTTCAGATAAGTCATTTCAATAAAATAATACTACATGAGCAATACTGCTTTTATAGTGTCTGAATTAAAATTACCCATCTTCCACTTCTGCTAGTAAAAATAGTATTTATTCAGTTATCAGAGTAATAATTACATTAAATATGTATAATTCTTTTGTTATATTATGACTCTTATTGTCATTTACTTATTTTATCCATGTCTGTATTTATTTTTTTTTTTTTTTATTTAACTATCCGCTTCAACCTTATGGTCATTAGCGGTGGAATTGATTATATTTTATAAATAAAGTTAGAGGCTTTCAGAAAATTTACAAGATTTGCTATGCTACATTTTGTGCCTAGAATTCCTATCAGAGTGTTTTCTAAGTTGAACGTTATCCTATACACTTCAAGCATTGGGCACTCCACTAGAATGTGCTTCACTGTTAACTGCACGTCACAAATTTCACAAATAGGCACAGGTTCTTGGGCTAGAAGATATCCGTGGGTGGCTCGTGTGTGTCCTAGTCGGAGTCGTGTGATG